ATGGTCATAATCGTCCACGTCAGTGATGCATAGAAGCTACACCCTCTAAATAATTATGATATGTGATGAAACGTCGTAAATCATCAATCTTCTCGTAAATGAGATTCGAGCAATTAAATGGCGCGGCTAGTGAAAGAGCATGATTTATTTACAACACAACGAAGCCAGACGGGCGTGACTGACTTACGACTCGGATTAACTTAGGCCTACCTCAACGTTTTAACCTCTCATATGTCTATGATGTTTTTTACATCACGTGCATAGGTCTATTTATACAAAACGATACGAAATATCGTATGTAGAAAAGATGAAAACTGTGGAGCGTGAAAACAGGTTTGGCAAAGTAGCGACCTCCCCATTTTTATAGAAACGACAGTAAATGAAAAACTTTCAATAACAACTGTATATAGGTTGTTCTAGTAATGCCTGCTTGGCCTTGACTTTTGGTATATCCTGTGTAAAAACCCTGTGTAAACGTGAATTGGAGTTTTATTTAATAAAACGAAGAGGCTTCAGAGTATTACTTTTAGAGCCGAACAATATAAACTGTGATACTGATTTGATTATCACCCGAGACAAATATGTCCTACAAACAATCGTTTCGGATCGTGGTGTTGATTTACGTTTATATTTGTAAAATGCCCCTTGAACACTATTTAAAAAATATAAAACATTTGTTATTAGCACAGTTTCGATATCCCGCAACAGGTCACAATGTCGGCTATCTACATATAGCTCGGAAATACGAGGCAACTAACAAGCTTGAACAATCTTTCACCAATTAGAGCGAGGGTTTCGTTCGTTAACTTTGACTTGGTTAGTGCCGGTTTAAAGTAAGGCAGCTGCCGCCTCCTTTGTGGCTTTTAGCAATGTCGCTAGTTAGCTAGTTATTGCTTAGCGCTATAACCTTTGTTGGCTGTTCGTTTTGATGAGACAGAAACGAGTGAGTGCGAATTCACAAAATGGGAAAGAATGCAAAAAATCAAAATGGCTAGACTAAAGCTGCACGTTAGAACCTAAGTTCTAACTAAAATGTGTGCTTTACTGGTCTACAAATTGTGCTGATTCAAAATAAAATGATTCTTTGTATTAGATTTTACGGTGGTAGGGCCACGCAGCAGCCTCGGCTGTTGCACGAATGGGCAGGCCCGTCCGGGTAAGTACCACGACCTCACAGAAGACCGGCATAAAGTGGAAGTATGACAAATACTTTCGCGTTTCGTCTGGTGAGTGAGGTAGCCGGAGCCCAATTTTCAAAAGGTTGTCAACGCATCTATAACCCTCGAGTGTGGCAGATGTCCATGGGCGGCGGTATTCACTTAACATCAGGTGAACCGTCTGCTCGTTTGACAACTTTTCGCATAAAAAAAAAAAAAAATAAATAAATAAAATGATTCTTTGTATTAGATAATGAATATTGATAGTCTTTGTTAATAACACGTACCGAGCCGTTTTCAGCGTCGTTACTTATCGAGTGGCGCAAGAAACAATGACGGAAGTTATTATGGGGCCCATTTTACCTCGGCCGGCCGATCCCCACGGAGAGGTAGCTTTGCATAACATTATTCATTACATGTTATCCCATTATAATGTAAAAGGGTCATTTCGCGAGAGCTTATAAAAATTCACGATCGCGCTGACGCCGTCGGTTTACGGCCTCGTTAAATCTTTAAAAACGCAAAAGCGTCATTCACATTACCCAAGGCGGCGACGTGCAAACGTCGAGGCAGAGTCATAATCTTGTTAGTATAAGCTAATTCTTTTAGTGTGGCCTACGGTCCAAGTCAGACGCGACGCGATAAGGGGAGCGGGACAGGGGCGTGGCGTATAATATCGTGTACAGAATTTAAAACAGAAAATTTATAATAGAAATTTTAATACAGAAAAAATTCGTAAAGATCCCGTGGCGTAATTACTGTCGTATGAAACGAGTATAATGTGAATAATTTCAACTAAGTATATTTTAACTAAATAAGTTTTATATATCTAAATAATTAATACTTTTGTTTCATTTAACTTTAATCTTAACAATAAAAGGAATAAGTTTCTGCTCATAAAACTAAGACAACAATCATTGATGTCATTATAAATTTTTACCTGATTATGTTATTCTAGAGAATATTACAACTATACACAAGGTATATGTCGACATTATTTTGTTATGAATGCTTATAATAACTCTTATACGATTTCTTAGATCAAAACAATTATTGTTGTAATTGCGTAATTTGTAATTGTCTATTAACGGTGGTAGGGCCACGCAGCAGCCTCGGCTGTTGCACGAATGGCCAGGCTCGTCCGGGTAAGTACCACGACCTCACAGAAGACTGGCGTAAAGTTGAAGTATAATATTTCCGCGTTTGGTCTGGTGAGAGAGGTGGCCGGAGCCCAGTTTTCAAAAGGTTGTTAACGCATCTGCAAACCCTCGGGTGTAGCAGATGTCCATGGGCGGTGGACTTAGATCAGGTGAACCAACCACCTGCTCACTTGGCAACTTTTCACATTAAAAAAAAAGATGGACCAAAAGCACGACTGCCTAAGTCTTGCCCAAGTTTGTACAAAACAACCTAGATTTATTTATTGTTATTTGTACATCGTACGAATGTAATTCCTCTTCCGCTCCTCGCTCATCACTCGTGCCGTCAACGAAGCTGCCGTGAATAATAGGCGCTGGCACTATGTATGCGCATGCGTCGCAAACAATGCGCCTTCCCTGTGAGGTATAACTCACGGGCGTATCGCGCCCACCCTTTTTCCACGTGCTTAGGTCGAACATAGCTCTTAGCGTAATTACCAATGCTTAAGACCGTTTAAGGTTAGGGTAATTCATTCATAAGATTTTCGAAATTTCTAATTTTACTATAGGTGTTTATTTGAACAGGAAATTATCATTTTCGACGGTTCAACACAATTTCACCATATCATCAGAAAATTTTTATTGTCAGGTATGAGAATGTTCTCGTCTCGAGGAGAACTTGTATGCTGGATAGAACCAAAATGCCTTTACTCTGTATAAACTAAAAACTTTATTAGGAAAAGAACCAAGCTCTGTTTTATGTCATTTGAAGCATTTTAAACGGACGCACAAACGTACGATAGACCCTATTGTCTACTGGATCCAGAAATTGCTGACTACCCTATCAAATTTCGCCTACGATATTCCACTGTTTAGTAAATAGATGTAATATCATTCACTTTTTATTAGATAGATGCAGTAGTAGATAGTAGAAGATATTCATACAGTCTACTGTTTGTCGTTTGCCAATCTATCCTTTACTCAAGCCATTTAATAAACATATTTTATGTTCCCATTTATCATCATTTGCTTTTATTTTCGCAACCAAGTTTTCTAGTTTCTTAAGTGCGACGACAACGACTCTTTTGTTCCTTATTTAAACGACTCGTTAAGACGATCTGAATGGATGGATAGCTTAATTGGGGTCCCGACTGGAATTCAGTGAAGAAACTTATGCGAAAATGAGATAAATTGCTAGTAAGATAGAGTTTACGGTTGTTAAACCGAACCCACAATGGTGCATTGTTAGAGTGCGGACAGTTAAAAATAACCGGCAATATTTTCAATGCTCCAATGTCATCTCTACCATGGTCATACTGCATGTTTGGTAATATTGTTATATAACTAGTTTTTAATGCTTTTCTTTGTAGGTAAATGGAAATATTTCTTTGTAGGTGAATGGCATTATATATATATATATATATATATATATATATATATATATAATGCCTATTTCTTATTCATTTATATATATAATATATATATATATAAAATGAATATTTTTTTTATTTTATTGGGTAAAGTTTAAAGAGCCTCTGCTTACTTAAAGGATATCTTTAAATTAGCTTCTCTCTTGTGAATATTTACGTGCGGCGAAATGTAATTAGTTACTTAAGTGAGTATTCAAACTTTTTTTAAGATCCAGTAACCTGTTGTGTTCTACTTAATTTGAATGAGATTGAAACTGTCACATCCAATCCCAGCCCAAAACTTTTATTTTAAATTGGTTATAGTGGTTGGTAATTTTTTGTATTAATCGAGTTAATAGTTAGTTAACATCCTGGCTGAGTGCTGACTGCAAAGTGTTGCCAACCAATTTGAATCAATAAAGTTTGATGAACAGCGTCTCTTTATGGTGTGTATTTGGTTTCTTTAAGTTGTGTCTTCAATTCTAAGAAAATCTCAAGTCCGAGTAAAAATACAAAGTTCCGTAGCGTAGAAACTATTGTACGTGATTATGTTTTTTTTAAACATAATCAAATGATAATATGCTTATTTTGTGTTATATGTGCGTCAAGACTACAAGTAACTGATCAAATTGAGATCGAATTTGAAATTGCAACACTGAAATAAACCAGCGCGCGGCGCCTCGTTCCGTTTGGAAATGAACTCACGTGAAAGCAATTTAGTAGAGCATGGAGAATATTAGCCGCTGATTTTACAAGTTCACCGGCTTCAGTGCGCCACTCTTAACAGAGTTTCTATTTCTAACCGCGGCCTAATGCGCCGCGGATGTAATAGTGAGCCGGCTTAGTATGAATGCCGTATATGCAGATTAAATTTTTAGCTGTTCGGACTCAATCAATATCAGCCTACTGCCGTCCACCGCTGAACGTAAGCCTCCCCCAAAGTGCGCCAACTATCCCGGTCCTGGGCAGCCCGCAACCTTTCTTAAGTTCATCGTGCTGCAGGCCGTCCCACACTTCGTTTTCCTAACCGTGGTGTCCACTCTAACACGTGTCGGCTCCAGCGACCATCAGTACGTCTGGAGACATGGCCAGCAAACTCAAATCCCTTGTCGTTAATAGTTTAATAAATATTTTAGGATACATTTTTACACAACGTTCACTAGTCCCAAACTAAGCAACGCTTGTACTATGGGTACTAGATAATTGATAAATATACTCAAAAATACTTTGTTTTTGTAAAAAAATACATATACATTTATAAAAACCTAGACACTAAAAAAACACTATGTTCATCACACAACATCTTTCCAGTAGTGGGGATCGAACCCACACCCTCTGGCGCAGGGGGCAGGTATAATATCCACTAAGCCATTCGGGTCGGCGTTTATGAGCCCGCTGCACGCCGCGCTCCCAACTTCCGCTCCTTGAGGCAGGTCGAAGTGACATTATTGCGGTCAAAGCGGGCGACAATCTTTTCGTACTTTTGCAAATTTTAATGTTTAGCCTTAAGTGCAGAGATTAGCACAATTAAAAAAGAATAGACATGCTGTGATTGACCCACTAGACATCAAAAAACGACCACAAAAAGCGATACTGCCAGTTCCCGTTGAGTCCTCGCGATTTGACAATGTGATTCATTTCACGACCATGACAACTCAGGGTCGGTGCAGGTTATGCTCTAAGCTCACGATTGTCATTTGCAGCAAATACCAAGGCCGGATATGTTTCGTTACCCAGGAAGTAAACCCAGGAATTGTCAACTAATAAAATAACAAAAAATTTTCAAAAATGTGTATAGTTTCTGGGTTTACTTCCAGAATTTAAGAATTTACTGCTAATAACAGTTTTGCAGAGCCATTATACCCGCTACTTTGCTTTCATAATGCAAGTCCATCAACTCATTTTTATGAGGTTTGATTTATGTTTGTTTTTAATTAAAGTTACAATACATATTTATGATTTTTTTTCTTACTGCTTTTGGTAAGGTATGTCCCAACATACATTCAAATGAATACATATTTCTTTACCCACTTGGCAATGTATGTAGTAGCATACATGAGTTTTCAGGAAAACTGAAAACCCTAGATTAGTTTTACTATTTTTCTGGGCATATTTTGGCTCTACACATTCCTATTTCAGTATTTATTTCTATTAAAAATGTTTTTTTGCCAAATAAAGGGTTAAACATACTTTTATCTTATAAATAAATACATATTATACATACATAAACACCCAGACACTAGATAAGTACTATGTTCATCACACAATATTTTTCCAGCAGTGGGGATTGAACTCACACCCTCTGGCGCAAGAAGCAAGTACACAACCCACTACGCCATTCGGGTCGTCGAAATGTAGGGCTTATAAACATTCATCGACAAAACGTGCGTCACGGAGATCCGCACTGCACGGATTCAAATCCGCCGAACGGATACGCAGCACGGCGGCGTTCAAATCCGCCGCATTAATTGCGCTAATCTCATCGCGGACGTCGAAAAACAAATGCTGCGGACGTTTATTAAACTGCCCAACGCCGCGCGCCGGAGGTTTCGCAACGGATCCACGGAATTCGGATGCATAGCGCGTATCCCGACGCGTGTCCATTTTCCAATTGGATATTTATTTATTTATTTAATAAGCTTTTGCACAACAGCGTACAATGTCCTATCCCAATTACTAGTTCTCTATACTAGTCACACGACAAATAAGTAGAGAAACTAAGGAGGAGCCAATAGTAATGCAAAATAATATGGTGGATGTAGTTGCAGATTGTTACCTTGCGCGAACGTTTTGGCCTGTGATTGTGCATGATCGTTCTACATCCCGCACGGGTTGGTTGATTCAGACGCGATGTGGTGGCCTCACTAGTTGAGAAGGTAGGTAAATAGATCTATTTGACAACGATCTGTCAGCTTATGTTGGCCGAGTACTTGAAGCCCAATTCTCCATCTAAAAATTATAAATACATTATTACAATACTAAAAATACATTATTATTATAAGCCAAGTTGCCCACATCCTTACGGCGTGTAAATCTCTACATCTTATCTACTTTTTCATATCGTATATTTAGCAATGTTGGACAATGGAAGATCGAATTGTATACTGTATAGTATAATAGCTCACTTCGTGTATCATAGTTTTACTGTGGTAAGGCCACGCAACAGTCTTCAATGTTGCACGAATGGGCAGGTCCGTGCAGGGAAGGACCACCTCATAGGAGTGAAAGTGTTACACTTATGCGTTTCTTTTGGTGAATGAGGGGAGAATGAGAGGCCCACGGCTGTTGCAAATGTCCACGGGCGGCGGTTATCAGTTAACATCAAGTTAACGGCCAGCTTGCACGCTTTAACGGTGGTAGGGCCACGCAGCAGCCTCAGCTGTTGCACGAATGGGCAGGCCCGTCCGGGCAAGTACCACGACCTCACAGAAGATTTGCGTTTCGTCTGATGATTGAGGTGGCCGGAGCCCAATTTTCAAAAGGTTGTCAATGCATCTGAAACCCTCGGGTGTATCAGATGTTCCTGGGCGGCGGTATTCACTTATCATCAGGTGAACCGTCTGCTCGTATGGCAACTTTTCACATAAAAAAAACCAACTAAAAAAACCTTTACAAGAGCCGTCATCTATATCGTTTATACTAAATTGATCGAAGATTTGTATGATACGCCGTATGTAATCCATATCCTGGTATCTTATAAAACATTAATATCATAAACACATTGTGAGAAACCGGTGGAAGGGAGGAAGCGTTAACGAGCGCGAGTGTCACTACAAATCGCGCTCTGTTTGCCCATTACTCTGTAACCGTGGCATTAGAGTGTTTGTCGATGCTTTTTTTTTCCTGACCGCAGCTCGCATTTGCCGTCCCCACTAACCTAAATATTTTAATTTCGCAGAACTTGCGGTTGTATTTGTTCGGTTGAGGTGATTTCATTTTACTGTAATTTAAATTCTTATCCGTCAGGTTATGACATAATTATATCGTATTCATGAGGATATGAAAACTGATATAAATAATTGTCTTTTAATTTTTATTAGTTAGTTTGGTTTACGATGTAAATCCATGATTACATCAAAGTGATTTATTTTTTAACACATTAATTGCGAACGTTGGACAACGGGTAGTTTATATTGATAGCCTGTATAAAGAGTTTAGGAAGTAAAGGAGTTTTATTTTTAAAACGAGTTTCATTGATAGCGCATATAATATATCTATTTGTTGCAAGTCTGGACTTGGAACGGGTTCTCATTATATTAACGACATTAACACATCGCCGATCATCGATGCGCGAATGAAGATTGGAGGTCTCCATTCAACCGACGTTGTATATACATAAAAAATATCTCCATCTGTCCGTTGCCACAATAAAAAGGGGCTCGCTTCGAACAAGCCAGGTGGCTTCAGTCTCCGTTCGTGTCTTTAGAATGCATGAATGGGACTTTCACATTCGATCGACTCCCATCCGCGCAGATAATTCAATGCCCGCTCTGTCATTATTCCGTTCGTGGCTACAACTGTGCATGTCATTACTTGTCATTATATACGCAATGTGGTTAGGTTTGTGTGTTGGTGCTATTAAAAAATTCCAAACAAGGCTGAGCTCGGTCAACGCGATTGCTATCTTATCTTCGAATTACTGAGAATTAGAGTGAAAATACTTTAATGATAGTAAGTTTGGAATACGTATAATTAACTCCTTCATTATGTGTGGATTATGAATGTGAGAGCTTGAATCTAGCTTGAATTGGATAATGGGATCTGATTTTGTGTGATGAAATTATTGTGTTTGGATAGCGCTAGTTGCGCCAGATATACCTATGTTGTTCGCCGCGCTGCTTACAAATACAAAGAACCTTTCTAAAAGTAGTCGATTTGTCTATGAATATGTTTTGTACTGTCATCTAATTAATGTTTCGTCTTGAGAAAAATATGTAGGTTTCCGCTAAATGTTTTCCGTCATCGCCGAACACATGGTTAGTCGGCAATTAGTACTACTAGTCGATAGATATCGATTCGGGTGATTTGGACAAGAGTGTAGACTTGTAGAGACTTTCTTGGCTTCTTGCTACTTCTTGGTTTCTGCTTACATGACTAAAGACACAACTATTTTTAATACCCATCGCCTCTCTCCACTAGAATGTGTGATGTACTTCGAATAGAACTTCGTGTATATATTTTTTGTATATTAGAAGGTTCCCTTGTTGTAGTTTTTTATCTAAACAGTTGGCAAGCGAGTAGGCGGTTGACCTGACATTAGTCGATAACCGACAACCGACAGCCACGACACCAGATTGATCGCAGGTGCTTTGCTTTTGTCAAGCTTTAAAAAAATGGTTCCCGGTTAAAAGCGTGGTAATTAAACCTGACAAGCGTTTATGTGAACGTGATACTTTCTCGGCCGCGCCCGCCAATTCTTGAAACAGAAGAAGTTACTGCGTGCGTGTTTTTATACAGTAGTTATCAATATTAATTCAAATTAAATAAATATTTCAGTACATATTGTTACACAACTAAATCAAGTCTTAAACGAAGCTAAGCTTATACCGTGGGTATTGGGTAACTGATAAATTTACTGACACATAATTTTATTTTGTAAATAAATTCATATAATACCTAAATGCATAATCAACCACACACTAGAAAAGCGCCATATGTTCATCACAAAATATTTATCCATTCGTCGAGAGTACACAATACAACCTCCCTAGCAGGAGACAGGCTCACTATCCACTACACAAATACGTCTTAAGTAATGCTGCGTCTTGGCTGTGAAAGCTTATGCAAGTATGTGCGCTTGGAAAACAATGAAACACGTTTCATTCAATCTCCAACATGTTCACATCTGACACCACGGTTACGCGGTAAAGTACCTATCTAGAATCTAGTCACGGTCGAATGTGTTGATTGTAGTCGCTCTGTCACTCCATTGTAGGTAAACCACTACGGAGTCGAACTGATTGTCATCTGAAATTTTAAAAACGAAATAAACACAGAGATCAAGAGTACCTGCTAATTTTATTCCGATTTTTGTACGCTTCACTGTGGCTTTCTTTCTATTCGTTTCCGTTGGAACTTCAAAATATAAAGGATATAAGAACACTCTTGTTCAATAGCTCTGTTGTGAGCAAATATCCATGTTCGGCTAGTTTTTGGGTACAGTGGGCACAAATCTACGGAAGCAAAATGTTTAAATATAAAGATAATGGATGATTTTCTAATTTCGGCATGTGTTTTCGAACGGAAAGAGAATTTATATGAAGGGAAATGTATATTCGACCGTAGAATTCGTTGCTGTTTCCAAGTACAGGTATAGATTACCAACTAAACAAGTAAAGCACAAGTAAAAAAACTGGTAGGCTTTGACGTTAATATGAGCTCGGAACAAGCCTTAAATGAATACTTCCGTCATGAAGCATAAGTATGTATGTTCCATTAACAAATAAACAAAATAAAATTCAACGACGAAATTCTAGGTTATTACAACTACTTTCGACTCGTGTGTTTTTTACGCGAGTGCACAGGATTTTCTAGAAACCTTCGCATCGGTTCTTTTATCAAATGAATTTTGTCAAATTGAGGCTCTTTTTTTTAACTCAATTAAAAACATTGTCACACTGTTTAGACGACCACGATGCAAAAACTCGTGTTAGCGACATACGGGGCCTCATTAAACGTTCAGTGTTATCGTCGTACCGTCGCATCACCTAAAACCTGCACGAATCAACCGCTCGGCGCAAGGTCGCGCCGCGTCTGCCGCCGTTCTGCGGCCGCCCTAATTAACGCACACCATCGGCTCCAGTCATTAAGGACGTGAATCGTACTCACACCTCAGTACCATCTGCATACGGCCGTAGATTTTTGCTCGAGACTCGATCGCGGCGTCATTCGATCGTCGGGTGTCAAAGGATCGGTTTACGGCGCAGTGGAAACAGTGTCCGACGCCAAGTTAGTTTCGAGGAATTTGCTAATTGTGTGCGCCGTGTTGAACCCTCGTTTCTCCGTGTGTTTACAAGCTGTGCAACATGTTGTGGGATAACCGTTGTCGTTGATTATCCGTTTAGTGTTCGATGACGTCACGCGATACGTTTACGTTTCGGTTCCGGTGTGCGATCGTAAGCCGCCGAAGTGAATATGGTGACGCGAAAATCCTTTTATTAGTGTGGCGCTCGTCGCGATCTCGAATTTGACAACGTTAACAGAACCGGTTGTTTTTGGTGGCGGCGCAGCTTAACCTCCTTTTTGGTCGGAAACGGTTAACGTTTCAATTTTGTGTTTCAAGTTTGTGTTTGTGGGGAATCTCACCATTTATCCTCTCGACTGTTCACGAAAGAATGGTGTTTCCTTTATTGATGTAGCGTTTGTTTTAGATCAATGATTTGGTTAGTCCGTTTGTGTCGTTATCAACGGAAGGCGTGAAGATTGTAAGGGTGAATCGTTTATTACATATAGTTAAATGTTTCTGTTAACTTGATTCAAATCTTTCCGTACTATTATAAACCTGTAATTTTTGTATGGTATTCTGTGAAACGTTGATCGGTAGGCAGGTATGCTAATCGTGTATTTTCTACCTTTTTCGCCAGATACTATTTTACCAAAGTCTTCTTATAATTTCAAAACCTTGGACTGCATTAAACTTTTTTGTTCGCTGACTTATTACTTTTATCATTTGTTTTCGCGTTTTTATGCACGTTGAATTGTTATAATGGGTAATTTATCATGTACAGTGTATTATCTTTACGATAATTTATGCTATAATCAACGATGACCTTCGAGTTACTTGGCTCCTAAGAAAAGAGTTGCCTTCATTAATATTAATTTGCATATGCAATGAGATTTTGTTTTGAAAAATTAGTTTGCCTACGTCACATGGGCTCGTGCGGATGCAATCATGTCTAACGTTGAATGTTTAAAGAAACTTAAATTATTCTTCGAGGAAATTTTAACAGAAAACTAATTAGATGTTGTTACTACAAGCTGACGCAAGCTAAATAAATACATAAGTAAACATATACCATATAAAACTCCGTTGAAATGAAACAGCAACGGCACATGATAATACTTATACCTTACATCGCGTTGGTCGAATCATCACCATAGTTATAATACCATGCTTCACCACAATAAAACGCGAAAAACTTCCAAATAACATCGGTGACATTAATGGTTGAAAGTGTACCGTGCGTGTTCCACGGAATTTTCTGCCATGCACGACCACTTTGTGGATCCGATTTTTGCCAGCGGTACTTCCGCATTTATTCCACTTATGATATATTACTTCCTTCAAGAAGAGATCCCATTCCTTTCTCAAAGGCCGGAAACGCTGTTGACTCCTCTGGTGTTGCCAATGTCCTAGAACGGCAATGATAGCCTACCAATGGTAGACTATCATGGATGGACCCGCTTCTTTTTATGTTTTCAATTTTTCATAAAATCAAAACGTAAGCATGGTAAAGAGTTAAATTAAAGCTTACACTATAAATGTCTTATTGCCAGACAAAGGCCGCCTAATGTTGCAAAAAAATTATATTATTTATACATATATTGGCTTAGTCCGCTATGCGGTACCAGTGATTCTTATTTGTCGTGTTAATAAAAAAAAACTACCCTTACTACAGGATTACACACTCCTGTGCTGTAGAGGCATTTAACAATCACAAGTTGTAAAAGGGCTATCATCCAAATTCGGAATAATAATTGTCCTTATGTGTTTCTTACGTTTCCCCGAGCAGGGATCGAACCCACTACCAGTTTAGTCATCAAGTGTGGACACGTATCCTACGCGTATCTTGTAAATATATGTTATATACGCAGGTCTCCTCGCACAAATTTGAAACGCAATTCTAACTGCGGATACTTGTTAAATACGTGGCCTACGTTTACCTTTATCGCCGAGCAGTCTAAAGCGAAACTGTAAATGCTAGCCAAATTAACACGTCCACAGTAAATTGGTATCGGCGCGAAATGAGGCAACCACACCGAGTGACGCTATCCCATGATGTTATCCGCCGGTCCGAGAATAGACGCGCGTCGCACGTCTCTGTTTACCACTTCTTATCGCCAGCGGGAGGATTCTGGCCGAGTGATTCACTGTCCGAGAAGCGAGCGGAGATCCGTGTTGCCAAGCCGCTGGCAGCTGACCGCTCGGAGTGTTTGCCGAGCGGCATTTTTTTCGCGTTGCATAAGCGCGAAGTTGTTTAGGAATTTTTCTAATTCACCTCGTCGTTGGAGTTGGTTTTTGCTCGGCTGATAACTGATTGTTTGTTGTAGGTGTTGAATTTTTCCCGTTTTATAACTGACAATAAGAGTCGAGAGTCCGTCATTAAGAGTCGTAATCGATTTTTTTGAATTTGCTTTTAATGTTACCAGCCTTATATCAGTGGGACACTACTGTTTGCGCCAAGGCTTATCCCTACATAGACCAGTCTTCAGCTTTGGTGGATCGGAGAGTTTATAATCTGTGAATCACTTGCAATTTTAAGTTAATTGACCAATAAATTTACTGCTCCCGTGAATTTGACGTTTAATAGAATTGTCGTCTGTTTTTAAACGATCGGTTCTGTAATCAATCCATCTTTTTTTTTTTCCTATAATCCTCGAGCGCCATCAGACGTCGAGTCTGCCGTGACTGTAACATACAATCCCGCATTTCCGTCGTGTTGAACTGTGAACAATCGCGAACCAGTGTCCACAAAGTTTTAACGGAACCTATCTAATCTGTCGCGCTGCTGTCATGAGGGAGAAACGCCGCACTGGTCGGTGCAAGGGGAAAGTGCACCACGCGCTGCGTTACTTCGGGTAAATAGACTGTTTTCCTATCGCCTATTTTGTAAGTTAACCGGCGACATAGTTGTTTGTACCTCTATCTTTTTTTTTGTGTGTGCATTTTGTAATAGATGGCAAACGAGCTTGTGGTCTACCTGATGTTAAGTGATAACCGCCGACAGTGGACAGCTGCAACACCCGTATTACAAATGCGTTGCCACCTTTCAATAAAGTAGTGCCCCGTTACCTCACTCATCTGACGCAGAAGTGTAACACTTCCACTCCACCTTCACGCCGGTCTTCTGTCAGGATGTGGTATGTCACCGGCCAGACCTGCACATTTTTTTTTAATGTAAGTGGTAAACGAGCTGGCGGTTCCAAATGTTTACTATACTAATTTTGCCAATAAAAAAATGCAGTGTGCTTACAAATATGTATCCATGAAGTGATGACAGGATGGGTAAGTTGTTAATGATGTACGGTTTCGCAAAAATTATGTAATGTAAAGACTTTTGAATATGTTTGATCGCACATGTGGCTTCACACTGAGCCTTCATTCAAGCGATGACGTAATGTTCGAACGCGTGACTCGAGTTATCAGCCAATGACGCTATCACTGCGCCGTATCGGGATGACATAATGTATATTTATCTTGTCGGCACACGAATAACGGAATATTCTCACTTCAATACGGGTGCTACAACTTTTATCCGTAGGTCTGCGTTGGTTCAGTGCGATTACTCCTAATTTTCATTGGTCAGAGGATTGTGGTAGGGCCATGCGACACCTACCGTTGCACGAACGGACAGGCTCACGGAGACGAGAAAGAAAGAAAGAAAGAAAGAAAACATTTATTGCACAAATACGCCACATAAGGTTTGAACAGTTACCAACTGTCCAACAGGTACCACGATGTCACAGAAGACTGGCGTGAATTGGAAGTGTTGTAGTACAACAGGTTCACGTTTCGTTTGTTTAGTGAGGTAACCGGGGTCCACTTTAAAGGTCGTCAACGCATCTACAAACAATCGGGTGTTGCAGATGTTCATAGGGGGCAGTAATCACTGAACATCAGGTGAACTGTCTGCTCACTTTACAACTATTCCCATAAAAATAGCAGGACAGTCAATGTCAAATTTCAGTGTCATTTTGTGCTATTAGTACTAGATGACTTGTAAGCACACTTTTTTTTTCAATCTTATATATAAAAATGGATTGCTGTTCGTTAGTCTCGCTAAAACTCGAGAACGGCTGGACCGATTTGGCTAATTTTGGTTTTGAAATATTTGTTGCAGTCCAGGGAAGGTTTAAACGATGAGAAATTATGGAAAAATTGCATGGAAAATCGAAATATCAACAATTTTATTTTCCCATACAAAGTGTTCCTATCTGTCAAACATGTTATGGGTGCGTTCCGAAAATTATTTTTCAATAAATTATTTATATGGCAAAACAAAGTTTGAAGAGTCAGCTAGTATAGTAATAATTTGATTGAACCCACACCCTCTGGCGCAGGAGACACATTGAGTCGTGAAGTCGTCGGTGATTGCATCGTCGGATGCTCACCTTAAAAAGACCTTCGCCCCGCGTACCTCACTTACCACGCGAAACAAACTTATGCGTATTTATTTCGTTGTGACGTTCATTATTATTTTATATTACTTGTTATACATTACTTGTTACACTTTTTATATGATGACTCACACCAACTGAAGTTTTGTATTATATTTTACTGTTGTTACACTAACACTAACTCTGCAAGTTAATTAAAAGAGCTGAGCTAATTTAAAGTTAGTTAACGTCTTGTTTTTGCTCTCTCTTGAGAAACTGTAAAATTAGTTTAGCTAATTTTAATTTATTAGTTTAGCTCAAAGAGTGCATGAACCGTAAGAGTTTTCCGAAGTTACAACACCTCAACATCGCTAAATACATTCATTTATCATTTATTTATGTCTAGCTCACTAAGGAAATCATAGCTCAGTGGTATTTGCGTCGACTCACTACCTTTATATTGTGGGTTCGAGTCCACCAATGGAGTTCTGTTTTTTTTTTTTTTTTTTTTTTTTCAATTTGTTTTTAAATAACCATTTTTTATTTTCATATCTGATGTATAGTGATATTTCGTTTCAGTTTGACGCTAAATTATGTTTAAATATAATAACATTTTTGTTATATGTATTTAGTTGATATCAAGACTTCTACTCCGTTACGATAGTAAACAACACGTGAGCCCATTTATATTGTAGATAATGAACGCCTTGTAACTACGATAGAGAGCATAGACAATAGTGTGCGAAGTTTTTCTATATTTTCCATCACTTTTCTTCCCACTAATCTTGTAGAAATAATAAAAGACAGCGTCTATGCAATAATTTCGTTTGTCATGCGCTCTTCGGCAGTACACTCGCCCGCATTAATTTCCTCTCCAGCCCATATTCGTTTTCATCACGCACCTGACTGCACGGAACCAATTGACGTCACACCGAAAGCTGATATCGGTCACGTGATGTGAACTCAAAGACGGAAGTTTGCTTCTGCGGCGAGTCAATATTTTCATATCGCTTGACCTATTATCGAAATTGATCGATACGCTTACCGTGATCCCTTCACTCTATGTACCTTTGATTAAATTTCTAGCGATTTTTGTATTTATTTTGCCAAATAAGTTTAGACATATTCTATAGTAACATAGACAATTATCTGTGTGATTTAGAAATACTCTCCGGTAATAATCGAAACTTACCCTTATTGTTTTAATAACGTTCTCTCGTTCTTAGAAGCGGACCACAACCGCGATGAGCCGAGGTAATCACTTAAAATCAGGTGCTCCCCAGCCCCTTTGCCATCCTTTTCCGAAAATGCAAAATTTTAAAAGCGCGAGCTTTTTAGCCTTTTTAATTATAAATGAACACCGGGTCGTTGTTACCTAAGTAACGAAAGTCGCGTCTTACGACGCACGAGGGAAATTAACTTGAAATTCTTACGTCGACAGCGAAAAGTTTTCATGCTTAACCAAATCCAGCCAGTCGCTTTTAATGGACCAATACGAAACACTCTGATAATACAGAAAGAGCAGAGTTAATCTTATTCTTCTAATGGGCGTGCCTTTTGAGATATCTACATGGCTTAAATAGTGAATATGAAACGGGCTATAATCCGTGTGTATGTATATCTTGAAGTGTGGTGGCTTACTGGACTATAAGTCGAATTGCAAGCAGAAGTCGCCGATTCAAAACACAGTTGCTATACACCAGTTAAATATTCTTGAGACGTTTTGGATTGTATATATATATATATATATACAATCCAAAGACACAGATCAGGGGTTGTAAATTGACATTGGCGATAGTAAAGGTTAGGATCGACTTGGTCGTATTTCACTTTCTCTTGTCAAAAACAGCTTCAATAATGTAATCACAAACGCAACCTTATAATGTCACTGTACGATATTAAATTACAAATTCCTTTACGGTTCCGATATCGGCTCCACGCTTCACGTCGCGATTATAGTCCTCCCAGTTATGGTCGGGCCGTGAAAGCTTCTATTGGTTGCATTTGCATTTAAATAGATATCCAATAATAGTAAAGTGTTGGTAAGTAATTAACGGCGGTCGCGCGCGCAATGCATTTGAAACGACGCCGCATTCATAAAATTGATAAAGACCGGCTAGAAACCCGGCGTGCGTTGCAGTGTCAATGTTCTTTTAAGAAATAAAAAGAAGAGTGAGAAGAAAGAGTTTTACCTTCTCAGGCCTTGTTTTTCATTCGATGAGAAAACCTGCAAAAGATGCCCTTTATCCTTAGAGAAAACGGTACCAATGTAGGGTCCTATCACTAAAATCCCCTTGGTGGCCACCGTACAATTCGTCGAGATGATTTCGCAATCGAAGTAATGATTTATCTTATATATAAAAGTGGATTGCTGTTCGTTAGTCTCGCTAAAACTCGAGAACGACTTGACCGAAGAAAGAATAGAACGACTTCGTTAATTTTGGTTTCGAAATATTTGTGGCAGTCCAGGGAAGGTTTAAACAATGAGAAATTATGGAAGAATTGCATGCAAGATGAAATTGCATCGAAATAGCAACAATTTTATTTTCCCTTACAAACTGTACCTGTCAACCTGTCAACTATGTCGTGTAACCTGCACATAGTTGACAGGTTGACACAAATGAATACAAACTGTACCTGTAATATGGATTAAAACAAAAATCGCAGGTGGGACGACCGCCCACTAGATGGAGTGACGACCTGTGCAAGTGTGCGGGAAGTCGATTGGTTGCATCAGGATCGTGCTTTGTGACGTTCTGTGGGGGAGGCCTATGATCAGCAGTGGACGCAAAACGCTGAAATGATGATGATGATGATGTATTATAAATCATGTCACATTTAGTTGGTTATTTCTAGAATCGACATTGGTCCGAATATAAGAGATATGCAGTTTATTGGCTCCTGGAACGCAATTTAAAAGTACATTTCTAGAGACATTTCTAATAAATACAACTTTGAAAGCTGTAGTAGTATAACCATCAAAAGTGTAGTACTTTTGAATATTTACTGAGGCATACTATTTCCTGAGATGTAAACAGTATGACATCAATTCGTCTATTCAGATAGCAATCTCAAAAGAGAATGCTTGAACGACAAAAGGAATGCTTATATTTTATGGGTTGCCTCAGGCCAACAATGCAAAACGTCTTGGGCCGCTCCGATAAACCCTGGTATGTCAATGAAACGAAATTTCTCGAATGATTCCGAGTTAATATCCCTCGAGGCTTATGTAGCATCTGTTTGCTTGCGACAGTTTCGGATTTTGAAGCAAGATAAGTCCTGCCAACTCAATGTTAAGCAGTGTTATTTCGATTAACGCATCAAAACGGTCGTAAGTCTCAAAAAACATTTTCAGAAATAAACACAAGAAATTGAAAGTTAATAAATATAGCCGTGAAGTTTCTTGTTCGTCTTATTGGATACATTTAAATTTAAGAAGAGTGAGTTTTTGGGTTTATTTTTGGGTTCAGTATTAAAATACAATATAATATTAATGATTGCCCTTGTTTTTACTTTCTGCAACGTCGTTATGAGATGAATCTGTTACTTATATAGTATTTGAGACACCGATCTTAATTTTTACATACACATTTTTACATAGACACCTTGTGTGTTATACCCGAAGTATACGAAAACTTCCAAACGTTTTTCATCCGTCAAAGATACTCAAAGAGTGCCGTCCAGAACCACCTGCATCCAACGACTAACCCCGAACATATATATTTCCCAGTCGTAATTTCCTTCCTACATTTATAACGGGCACGGATGAAACTTAGTCAAGAGCTCTCAATTAAACATCCGCCCCAAAATCGATACAAATAAGACCGCGCGTGGGCGTGGATTATCCGGGGCAGACAGTCGACCGTATTACCCTCCCCGCGTAATAAAGTATCGGTTCGGAGCCGAACAAAAGGCGAACGCGTTTCGCTTTATTCGGAGACAAAGGCGCAAGAAAGAACGCCTCGCATATTACTTTGTTTTAATTCGCTTCTCGTTCGCGTAACACCACAAAAGAGACCGCCCGCCCGCCCAGAAGTATCTAGAACAATCGTCAAACAATCCGAACGTATATTATATGCACTGTTGTATCACATAGCACAATGCGAATGTCGAGCGCTTTCTCGTATGCGGATTGCGTTAGCGTAACAATGAAATGCAATCTCGTATATTAAATGCTGTTCTGGAAATAGTCCGCGCGCGGGGGAGTATATTTTCAGTCTCCAGACGCACAAAGAAACCCGTCTTCATGCTCGCGTTTTCTCGTGACGTTCTGTATTTTGTACGGTACGTTCAAATATATGTTTTCAAAATGACCCTTCGTAAACAACTAATTTGCTTCCTACTATGATACCAATATTTTCAAAGACTTTCTTTTTGTGCCTTTATACTCTAACAGTCGCTCTTATGTAGACCACAGACGTTTCTCAACCGACTTCAAAAGAGGAGGAGGTTGTCATTCTCAATTTGACTGTATGTTTTTTATGTTTGTTACCTCATTAATTTCGACTGAGTGAACCGATGTCGATGGTTCTTTATTTATTTGAAGGCTGGTGCTTCCCATGTGGTCCAATGTTAATTTCATTGGTATTGGATCTTGGGCTCCGGAGATACTTAGGGAGCTCCTGAAAATCAATTATAAAATGAATACACAGTGAGATTTTAAGTCGGTTTTGTTTTTCGTTATAAAAAGAACTTGTTCTACTTCCCTGGTACGTAGGTATAAGTATTTTACGTGAATTAAATATATCCTTTTTATTTTTCTTTGTCCTAGAGATGTGATTAAAAGAACAAAACATGTTAATTTGACGATTATATCGAATTCTTTGATGTTTTTTTGAAATAGAGGATAATAATATAGGTGTCATGAGGATGTAATCTTAAAGTTAATAATAATATCAAAATAAACGTAAAAAACTTCTACATTCATCTAATTACTTCGGGAAAAGGCCGCGAGTCTAAAAATAAAAGTTACACATCTTGTTTCGTTTGCATTAAGAATGTAAATCTATAACTTTCTCTTTTTATTTTTAAATTTAGTTTTATATAAATAAAAGAGTAACATATAAAATCCAAAGGCAAATAGCAGAAGCGTAGGAAATTAATCAACGTATGCGTTCTTATGCTCATTCTCTGCTTGAGCTGAAGGCCGTGTATATACGGTACATAGACACACATACTCGCAAACTCACACGCATACACACGCCCTTTAGTTGTACAATGCCTTCATCCAGAAACATCTATCCGCGTTTTCATTGCTCATTACAATACTTTGGCTTTTTACTCAACGCGTTCGTTATGTGCATATTTCTTCTCTTATTAAAGTTATTCGAGGTTACATCTCCTATCTAACACTCACTCCGCACACAATCTGTAGTCACACACCGTATATTATGCACACTGCGTTCTGCGATATCTGTTGCCATCTAGCCGCATCTAAACCTTCGCCGTCTCTCCGTCCGTTGCAGAGGGGCGGTGTGTGTGTGCCGCACCGCCATGTCGCACCACAGCGACGAGCAGGCGCTGCTAACGGTCGCCTCGGACTCCTTCTGGGAGCCGGGGAACTACAAGAGGACCACGCGGCGGATAGACGACGGCCACCGGCTCTGCGGCGAGCTCCAGGCCCTGGTGCAGGAGCGCGCCGACATTGAGAAGACGTACGCGAAGAGTCTGCGCGGCTGGGGCAAGAAGTGGAACGACCTCATCGAGAAAGGTGGGTGGTCGTTTCTGTGCGGGGGAGAGGGTTGCTTTCTCGTTGGTCCACATGCACGTTTGTAACACTCTTTCAATAATGTTGGCCCCGGTTACCTTGCTAACCTTGAGATGTTAGCGCCGTTTCTCAAAAAAAATCCACATATACCCTCTGAACTCTTAAATTCTTCTCGGGCGTTCTTACCCCCCTCACCCCGCACGCCTACGTATTGCATATATAATGACCCGATAGCAGTAGGCACGAGAGTAATACAATACTAACTACGGCGCCGCGATCTTATAAAATATATTAAAGGCAGGCCGGGATCGAAGGGACACAAGGTTCATGAAATTATTTATTCCATTATCAACCAAGAGTTAACTCTCAATGTTTCATTTAGCCATGTATAATATTCGCGTAATAACAATAAATCAACATATCTAATATAATTTTTAAGAAGCCAATTTTCAAAAGTTTGTCAACCCATCTGTAACCCTCGGGTGTGGCAGATGTCCATGGGCGGAGGTATTCACTGAACAACGGGTGAACAGCCGCTTGGCAACTTTTCACATTAAAAAAAATATGAAACACGTTTAGACGTTTCATTATACATCTTAAGTGAGTGAGTTTGCCGTTTAGAAATACGCCCTTAAAACCCAATTAACGACCGAACAAAACGCCATTCGCCCCCTAACTCATAACAGGATACCCTTTGACATCTGTCGCGGCCGGATGCCTCTTTGTGCCTTTGTTTCACTGTTCGTCCGATCGCACCGAAGCTCTGTCGCCCGCGGCGATTATGAGACGACCCGACGTTACGCGCCTTACAAGGGATAACTCGACCTCCTTTCGTCTCTTACATTTCTATGATAAGGTTCCCTTCAAACGATGAGCAACCGATATGGAGGAATTCAACGAAACAACAATTCGTTACGAAACGATGTAAATAAAACTGTAAAATATCTTTATACTTTAATGTACACAAATATAAACTCAAAACAATTTTTAGACTTAAATAAACGCACAAAGGCGAGCTGTTCTGATCTGATATATAACCAATTTCCTCGATTAACTTTATTTGACATAATTTAGGAGTTAATGTCATATATGTAGGCTTTATCAGTAACACGATGGCTTAGTTAAATCTACAGATCGACAAAATAATCGAGGGAAAAGTAAATGCTAAGAATTGGAAAATAACGTATTCGGATCAAAACAATTACTTGTAGTCTTTAAACAGTTAATATGTTGCTGTTTCTGACTAAACATGTTTCGGTATTCATGTCGACAAAAATTTGCGTTTTTTGCTAAATTAGTAAACTCCTTATCCCAAGCGAAATAATATGACGAACCTTTTGTTATTTTCTACTATTGCGCAAATAGAGTCAGTCACATGCATTCCAGGGAAGAAGTATATAATTATTCTTATGCTTCTTACATACTTCCACCTTCCGTGAGGTGAGTAAGGTATCCAGGGTTTAATCTTAGAAGAGTTCACCGCAATCATTCAGCTGGATCCTCACCTCGCTTACCACTTTCTCGCATAAGAAATATACTCTTGTAAGCAGTGATATTAGAATCCAATACTTTCAAGCCCAACAAACGGTTAAGTATCAAATTTAGGCTCGCGAGAGAAATCAATTTTCATCTGAGTGATGACCACCATTGTTGATAACCTTTTAAAAAATTTCGAAAACCCAATACTGTCCGATAGGTGTTGGGTTCGTTTGTTTGTTCGTCGTCGTGTTTGCATTACACTCTCACGCAACTGCGTGCGTCGTATGGGTTAACGATTGCATCGTATGTTTTCCGAAATAACGTCTTAGGAAGTGTTTGTTCAATCCATATTTGCTTATTTTATTTTGTAGTGATTTCTCAAATAGTTGATGTGTTTCCATGTATACTAATCTTATAATACTATTTTAATTTCTATAAAAATGTAAAATAACTGAAGGAAAGTTTTTATGATTATATAAAAATAGCGAGGAAAGGCGATAATTTATTTTATTACATTATACAGATATACTGGCTGTTGGCCAGAGATAACTGTGATATCAAGATCGTTTGAGATGATCAGGACGATGCAAATGAAAATTTGACAAAAATTGACATGATTATTATGATTAAACGCCATAAACTGTGTGTGAGTTGATGTAGTTGATGGCTTTGTTGCACCAATTCCAAGGTTCATTACTGTGAGTGTGATTTACTAAAGATCATTCTGGAAAAGGAAGGAAGTTCCAGAAAATTTCTTTGAGAACAAAGTTACGCAACATTATCTAGTAGTCTCAAAATAAGCAGAGCTCCAAATATGGATGCCACGTAACTGAGGAACATAATTAAATCTACACTCAAAAACAAAAAACACTGTTCATCACACAATATGTTTCCACTATCGAACCCACACCCACGGCCTCGAGGGACAGGTCCGCTATCCACTACGCCGACCGATTTCAATATTTTTCAATATTTTCGAGGCTAATTTCAATCGGCGACCGATTGCGTCGCCGTCGCGAAGTGTTATCGTAAACGGATTACACGACCGTTACATAACGGCGTGCGGCGGGCGAAAACGAAAGTTGTGATACGCGATCGGACATTCAGACCACGGGTTCGATGCGCGGGTCGCGCGTAACGCCGGGCGCGTGCGCTCGCATGCGATATCGAATCGAAAACCGAAAGTATCGCGCGTGACCGTCGCTTTGCACTGTTCTCTTATTTCCTGAACTATCTTAATGTCTCGATACCGGTAATCTTTTAATCATTTCGTCCATTTTTAAGCGCAGAGATAGCACTATAAAAATTAGTATCCTTTAAAAACCTCACTGATTGTTAATTTCTAGTTTGACGTGTAGGTCTGATGGTTCATATAGCAAAGATTCTGCAATGAGTCGAGTCTAAATAGGCTAGTAGAGTAGCAATAATTCAACCGTAGAGGTTATATTTCGTGAGCTAAGATCATGCAACGAGGACTAAAACGTAATTCCCGTGTCTGTAAAAAAGTATCAGCCTATACATGTCCCACTGCTGGGCAAAGGCCTTCTCTGTACAGAGGGTATCAGGGCATAGTCCACCACGCGGCCCCACTACGAATTGGCGGACTTCACATATCTTCGATTTTTTTATTATTGTTATATACGAAAATATGCAGGTTTCCTCACGATGTTTTCCTTCAGTGCTGAGCAAGTGATAATCCCGTATCTGTAGATTATCAGGTACATATATGTACTCGTCCTATATTGGAACCTAGAATCCTTATCAACTTAGGAACTGCGTCAACCGAGTCAACATTATAAGCGACTGTTGGATTAAAGGCAAAATATTGACTTTAAAATCCCTTCGTGAAATCCGTCGCGGTCCCTACATTTACGGAGTTGCGTCGAAGGGTCGGTTATGAAACTTGCACTTGCGAAAGCCCGCGGCATTCCTCGCACGGAGACCGGTCCGCCCCCGCTTACCAATGCGCAATTATGTCCTCCTAGGGATGAAACGATACGAGTAAATACTCACTCGATACGTCCTTCGGATACGAAGTATTTTTTGTATTGATACCTTGTAACTAACTAACTACTCTACTCTTCTAATGTGGCAGGACCACGAAAAAATGACTGCAGACAGAAGTGAAAACTTAAAACAATATTACAATTAAAATTACATTATATTTAACTAGCGAGCCGCCCCGGCTTCGCACGGGTGCAATGTATTATTAAACGGTTTTATTTAGCTCGACCCGTACGGAATTTGTTTGTTTATTTATTTGGGTCAAAATTAGAAATTGAAACTTAAGCACCTTGCCGTTGTCAGATTGGTCTGAAATTTGGTACACACATTTAATTTAGATGACAATACAATATTAACAAAAAAAAATTTAACAAAAAAAAAAAAAACAAAATAAAACCGTTTAACTTAAAAGTTTTTTAAAGTAATTATACATATAAACCTTCCTCTTGAATCACTCTATCTAGTAAAGAAAAAACGCATCAAGATACGTTGCGTAGTCTAAAAGATCTAAGCATAAATGGGGACAGACAGACAGCGGGACGACTTTATTTTATAATATGTAGTGATTCTACATATTTTATAGACACTCCGCACGATAATAACAGTATTTATGACACTACAAATATATTTTTCCGTATTTCATTTTAAAAATAGCTCATGGAAAGCGTTCGGTGACGATGACGCGAGTTTCACCATTTTTGTTCGCCCAAAAAGTGCTCAACACGCCTAAAGAAGTTTTCACTTAAAAAAGTATCAAGTAGATATCGGCCAAAAGAACGAGTATCGATAATAATAAATAACAATCGTTAAATTAAAGGTGTTATTTAATAAGGTTCATAGCCATCTATTCTGATGGAAATAATTATTTTGTGAACCAAATATTGAGATGTTTGATTGAACGCACTGAACTCATTAGAGGAATAAAGATGGCGAAAATTTTTAACCTTAATTTTACCTCTGTAAAATTACTATCTTTTCTGTGACTAATGTTTTCATATCAATAAATATTATAAGTACTCCTTAAATAAGACGAATAATTTACGAAATTCTTTGCGTTTAATATAACTAATACTTAAAAAATTAATCATGGCAGTTGCTGTGGTGCTACGGAACTCGGAGGTTTTTTTTATGACCACGAGTATGTGTACATCCGCACTGTTGTGTAAAATTTAAAACCTGAAGTTGGTGCATAGGTCACCAATTTAGAATTATATAAACAGTCAACAGTCATCAATCTCCATACTCGGTCCGATAGCCATCATTTTTGTAACGTGGTTGTGTGTCATAATTAAAGTGTTCCTTATAGCCAATTAAAACGGTTTTTTTTTTAAAGGACCCACAGAGCGCCAACCTTACAGTACGTACGCTCGATGAGGAAACAGATGATAGTAGTGTGGTAAACCATCATCCAATCTAATGATACGTGCGCCAGTCGCTCTTCGAACATTTCAAGGGCCTTCTTTATATCACCCAGGTTTTATATAACGGCTCATTTCGTAATGGCTCTGGCGTGCAACGAT